GACCCTCAGTATGTCTTAAAGATGTTCATCAGTAAGTCTGGTCCTGTACTTGGACTTATTGAAGTTCAAGGTGGAGAAGAGCTTTTCGCTGAAGTACGTGCTTCTAAAAAGGCACATGGGCCGCTTGAACACTCAGGAAAGCCGAAGGAAGCTAGGGGTCAGTTCTCTCAAAAAATGCTCAAGCTAGTCGGCTTTTCCACTCACCTCCCTGATCTTCACTTTGAGTTGACTACAGCTTAATGAGCTTCATTTGAAGCACAGAAGGGGCATCATTATCAAAGGAGAAGGGGCTAGCAAAAATTTGAAATGTGACTCTGTGCGTCTTGAAGTCTGCAAATCTGTGATCAAATTCCTCCTGTAGCCTCAAAATGACATCAACATACTTCTCACCACTGAGTAGTGTTCCTGCATCCACAAGTGCCTTGCAATGCTGGGAAATTTCAGGAACGTCTTGTGGAGAATGCTTTCTTGTTGTCATAGGCAGCACTGACAAGTTGCCCCTGGCCTTGTAATTTCTTGTTCAGTACATTAAGCTTATATCTGATATCAACAAGAAAAGCTAAGTCCACGAGCCATTTGGGATCACTTAGCACAGGAAAAGCCACTCCATCTTTCTCCATGAAGGCTTTCACTTCTGCTGTCAACTCCAAAAAATCTTTTCAATATGTTTCCCCTGCTGAGCCAATGTGCTTCAGTGAAGTAGAGCACATCCTATATTGTGACCCCACTTCCTCTAAAAAAGCACGGAACCCTTCAGTGCTTTAAGCTCCTGGATCTGATTTGGTTGATGCATTTTGCAATGTTTACATCACTTTGTCAAAATCCAGGGGTTTGCTGCAAAGGACCTGATGATGGATAATGCAGTGCAGAGCAATAGCCTCCTCCACACCCTCCTTACCAGTCCATTTTTCCTCCCCGTCATTTATGGCGTTCCATCAGTTGTTATTCCAACAAACCTCTTCCATGGCATCACACAGCTTGTGACATATCTCCTGAGCGGTGGTCTGGCCATGCATTGGAATTGCTGTAAGCAAGTCCTCCATCACTTCAAAGCAGTCATCAACACCTCGGACATACACTGCGAGCTGAGCAGTATCGGCGATATCTGTGGTTTCATCAAGAGCGACTGAAACACTGAAACATTTGGCTTTCTCGCACAGTTGGTGTTAAATGTCACTTGACAGGTCAGAAATGTGATCTTATACGGTGTTGGCAGAAATGCTGATGTTGCTAAACTGACCTTTCTTTTCTGGACAGACTATATTTGCAGCCTGCAATATGCTCTTTTTGACAAGTTTACCTTTGTGAATGGCTTTCCTGCTTTAGCAATAATCTCACTAACCACATAGCTAGCTTTCACTGCTGCATTATTCTTTTTGGTTGCTTTCCTGAAGAAATCTTGTAGCCTCAGTAGATGTTTTAAGACTGGCAACCTGGTTGGCTCTCTCGTCTCCCTGGTATTTTGCATACACCGCAGCATGTCTAGTTGTGTAATGACGATTCAAATTGTATTCCTTGTGCACTGCAACTTTCTCTGTGCAAATATGACACGCTGCTGTGCTCAACAAAGAAATATTGCATTTCTCACTTTTCCTGAAATTGTCTGTGCTCATCACCAACCTTTCTCTTCACTGCAGGCTTTGAAAAAGAAATATTTGGGGCTATGCAACATGTACATAATTCTACTTGGTGTCACTGTCGCATTGAAGTTTCAATCCAATGTTTAGCCAAAGCAAGGGGAACGTCTTAATGCATAGAGAATGTAATTTCAGCGTCTTTTTCTGCATGGCGGTCGGCGGATTAAAGCCCGGTAGCAGTCTCCTTTGTTTTTACCCTCGATGTTCATATCTTT